CTTCATGAATTATTAATGAGTTTTCTAAATAAAATATCAAGAATGGGATACTCACCTTTTCTGGAGAGTAAGCACCTGGACCTGGTTTGAGTGTACTGTCACCAGGAGCATAGTTTCGTCCATTGATTGAATATATTGGTTTTCTTGACTTGAAGGTATTTGGATTGCACACTTTGTATGTACCTGGACCAGGCGTCTGAAAAAAAATGGGAAAAAAGTGAAGAAAATTGAGAGAAAAACTCAAGCAAAGTGGATTCCCATTATCTTGAACCTCTTGAGAACTAGGAAAAAGGTTTTTTTTTTTTTTATTTATTCGCCTTTGTCTCAAGTTCAAAATACGGGGGAAAATGATATAATTATGAATACATGTTGTGAGAAAACTGCAACAGCTAAGACCAGTTACTGCAGACCCTTATTATAAGAACAAAGTTCCAAATAATTTGCCTTCAAGATATCCAGAGCATAATATTATAGTGATGCAAGTCCACAGGATGCATCCTTAAGTTCAATTTATAACAGGACTTTCCAGATATCCAGGGTTCAAAATGAAAGGACTCTACTGTATATACGACAAATCAAAACAGGGTGACCAATTTGAATGTCAACGATCAACTTAGAGCTGTGACCATGTCCTTGTGTTGAAGAAAAATATGTGGAATAATTGGGGACTATAGACTTCTTGCTTGGCTAGGAACTAAGCGTCATGCCTGCTGCTGAGTAGAGACAAACTCTCACAGCCTAGCTTTTCAATCATACAAATTGCTAAAATTATTTCTTCATCTTACCCTTTGCAAGTCCTCATGGAATCCACCTATCTTGGACCTTCCGGTCATGGAGAATGCAGGAAGTGATCTTTTACCAACTGCTTTAGGGCCAAGTATTGTGGGTAACATGTAAGCATTAGCAGCAGGGGTAGGATCCCTTCTTGTATAGGGTGTGCGAAGACCAAAGGAGTACTGAGGAGCTTTGACATGGTTTGGAGGGTGCTGTTTCTCTGGTGCATATGTGTCTGTTATAAAATAATACTTTGTTAGTGAATATTAGCATTAAAAAGTGTCAATCATAATAATAAATTATTGTTTATATTTGTATCAAGAAATTACAGAGAATATCCATCCTTAAATCATAAAAAAGTATTTTATAAGGCACATAATGATTAAAGAATACCTTACTATACAGGTCTTCTGACAGGATGCAGGAAAAAAATAGAAATTATGCGGGATTTTTTCCCGGATTATGCGGAGAAAATGGCAAATTATGCAGAATAGGATGCGGGATGACGTCACAATCGAAAAAATTTCTGAATTTTTTTTACAGGATTATACACGTTGTTTTTAATTTTGCTTTTTTATTAAMCTCCAAACTTTGTTTAACTAAAGTTTTATGCAATTATTTACAGTTTTACCTTGATTTTGCTTCTTTATTTGACACTGGCCTTGTTTATCTCAGGTTTTTAATCCACACATGTAATCGTCGTGTTTTTTCGCACTACACGCAATTCTTCTCTCCAAAACATTACTTTAAATGTTTTTTTTTTCGAAACCTTAAATTTATGATCTGTTTTTGAAGCTCAGACAAAAAATCTCAACGTTATTTACCACCTCACCTCACCTTGCACAACAATCGTTTGCATATTCGTAGTTAATAGATTATCATACCTTATTATAGAAAATTAACTCGCGCCACAAAATCAAAAATCCATAAATAGCATAATTTAAGTCGTGTTAATTTCTTCAATTTTATCTATGATGTAATTGCTTTTGAAATATTATATTTTTWAAACTGAACATCACAGTGCCAGTTAAGCTAACCCTAGGCTAAAATATACTTGTTTACGATGGTAACGATTAACCATCGTAATCAGTTTCTAGACATCAAAAGACTCCGCATTTGCCTAATTGTCTCGGGGTGCTAAATRCTGCTCTGGTGAAAAAAAATAGAAGGATTTAGACTTTTCTATTTCTCCTCAACCACTGATACACTTGGTCTACTTCATGCAGCTGTGGAAATGTAAATGGCCCAGAGCCAACAATTGTAACGGGTCATAGAATATGCACGATTGGTGACACTTGTCGATATCGTCACGCCTTGGAAATATTATTTTACGCGCGGAAATCTTGTCTGTGAATACATGTATTTAACCAGAACTCTCATTTGCTATCTATGTTTTTTATTGTTTGACTTCTAACCAATCAGAGAGTACGTTTTATTTATTTCATTACAAGATGGCGTATGATTCAATATACAGTTTTAAACGCTGTTTATTGCTTGAAATTTAGTAAGTAAACTATAAAAAATTCGTAATTTCATCAAAATAAGAAAACATTATGATACATTCCTTCTTGATTATTAAGTTTTCTTTAGATTTTTGACGAATTATGCGGGATTTTGCCGGATTATGCAGAAATCGTTCGATTATGCGGAAAAAGGCGTACCCGCACATCCTGTCAGAAGCCCTGTACTATATTATCGTATGCACTTGTCAGAGAGGTTTGTAGGATAAGGCATACAACAATTCCCCCCCCCCCCCCCCAAGGACTTTAAAATATATTCCTAAATTAAAACCCCTTTTAGGACATCTAAACCATTCTGGACTACTCTGCATTACATCAATATGTATGTACATTAATATAATTATATAAAATAATGGTCTTAAACATTTCATTCAGGAATTTAACTTAAGTTAAAAAAATAAATTTTTAATATTGATTAAAAATAATTAATTCTAATTAATATCAATAAATAGATTAATAGTTAAACAGATATCAAAGTTGTAAAGGTGTAGCGACAATGAACATATTTTTACATCAATCGATCCAATATTTCATAAATCGAAGACGGTTATATAAAAGTGCTTGTTTGATAATAATAGATATTTTTATTTTATAAAACCATACACTACTCACTATAAAATACTTGAACAGTTACACAATAAAATGCAGGTCTCTAGATAAAATTGTCTTCTCTTACAGTAAACAAAAGTATCTAACGCGCTACCGTTTTTTAACTTCCTTTCCTCTCGTAACTAGTCAAAAAGATTAATTAAATATACAATTTTTTTTAGAAAAGGGTAATTTTAGATGTATAATAATTTTAAAGGTTCTTTTTACCTTTTGATACTGAGAATTTATATGATTTTTTGATCCAGACTAGCAGGTAACTAAGGCAACGATTAACGCGTTCACTTCACTTCAATATGCGCGCATTGTTACCACGCGATTTTCACCAAATAATAACTCAACATGATCTAGTCAAAATAATTCAATTAACGTTTTAGAAATGACAATAAAATGGTTCTTACCCGGTGCGGGAGTCTGAAATGACTGAATAAGCGAAGTTCGATCGTGTAAAGTGTAAGCTGGTGTTCCATCCTTGCCGCGTCGTGTCATACTTGAAGGCACAAGGTAGGCCGGTCCAGGGCCAGTGTTTTTGGTATTAATGCCCACTTTCAAGCCAAAAGAGAAGGCTGGTTTCTTGTTCTTTCTTGGATCGTGTGCTGTGTACCCACACGTGCCTGGAAGGAGGTATTTTGCTGGTCCAGGTCCGCGGAACATGGCCGCGATCTGAGGTCGACGCTGCTGTTGTACCGACATGGTTGTCTGTAGATTCCTAAACAGTGCTTTCTACGCGTAAAACAAGCTTCGGAAAGTCCACTTAACTAATACATAGAGAATAATCTATAGAGTACCTTTTGCTTTACTAATAAGTACTTTGAATCAGAGAAAAGATTTCCCAATCGGATATTTTTAACACTAAACAAAAGTCTCCTCCGATCTCCAAGGAACTAGTCTTGCATTACATTAGTGTCGGAGTAATTTGATCGCGGTGAATTTTAATGTAAGTGAAGACGAGTGATATYGCTTTAGATTAACCAATCACAATGCACGATGCGGTAAGACAAAAAGAGTTAGGTAAACACTTAATTGACAGCTGCCAGTCATTTCTGGTCAATCCTGTATGAAAAAGGCTTCGTTGCTAAGAGAATAACCGGTCAAAAGAATGAATAAATAAGAATTTTTCCTTATTTTTTTATTAAGAATTTAATAACAGCAAGAATAGTACTACTTTTCCTGTAACTTAACTAAAAACAAAATAATCAAAGATGATAATCAAAAATAAATAATAATAATAATAAAAGACAAAAAATGTACTGAAGAACAGATTTAATTTAATATGATGAGTTTAGTTATTCAAAGGTACTGGTTAACAAATATTGGTGCAATTTAAAATAACTTTAATTTATCAATAAAATATTACTGACATTATCTAAGTCACCGTCGATTTGAAGATCCTTTCTCCAAAATGTTCAGGAATTTTCCTCTTGTCATTTCTCTGGCTGAAAGGGGAACGAACTATTTCTTATCATGATGGTTATGGAAAGCAATGGATTTTTAGCTATGATTACTCCAACATTTCACTGTTTGTTGTGGAATTGGTTTTTCACAGCTATCAGTCAAGAATGTTGAGTTAGAGAATTATCTATACGCCCCCTCCCCCCCCCTCCCTCTCCCCACACACAGAAATTTGGAATTTCAGAGGGCTTGGGGGGGTCTCAGAACTAAATTACAAAGTTTGTATGGAAGAAAATTGGAATACTGTAACTGCCTTCCAGAGAGAAATGGCAAGTTTTGATTCAATCTGAATTGACCTTCCCAAGGAATACTGAAAAATGTTCATATGCCTGGGGGGGATTCAACATGGACCATGACCACAAACTGGACGGCAGAGTACCTTTTTAAAGTTGGAGGCTAAGAAGCAATTTTTAATAATTAGGGCGTGGGGCTAATCCCTGGGAATTATGGAATAGGGAATTACCARTAGTTTGTTGTATAATAAATATTATTAAAAAGGTCCACCTTCTTAATTTCATAAACCCCCATCTCAAAGTCCTAGATCTGGTCTTGGGGTAAATTTGAAGTGACATGCCACTTGACTGAGTCTGAAGGGTAAGCCATAGATATAACATAAACTATACCTTCATCGAGACCAAGTTGAAAAGCTAGATTTTGCAGCCCTCTGACTTTTTCCATTAGTTGCGAGGTTGTGAGGCTTCCAAATTCTGTTAACAATCAAGCGTGTGGTGAAGTTTAATCAGTACACCAGAAAATGTGCATGGGGACACTGAGGAAAACATAGCAAGTACGAAGCTGAGGCCATCCCCTTACATGAGTGCACTGCCACATTTAGACCAGACATTTAAGTTGTCTTTGTCCCAGTTTCACRAATAGTATTAGACCATTATGATAGGAAGGCACCTTGGTATCCRAAGACAAACTTGTCATCAAATAGCAATAATGTAATAAACCCAAAAACATATGATCGTYTGGCATGATTTTTTATGTAACATTTCAAAGCCGACAATGAGGACTGGACGGGATTTCAAGTCCAAGCAATTAGTTCCCGTTCAAGGTGCAGCAGAGAACTGGAACTAATTGCAAGGGCTTGAAATCCTGTCCAGTCCAATTTGTAGGCTTTGAAATGACTTTTCATACTCATTAATAATTCAGGAGGTTATTTGTTTAGGATTGAAAGACTTAAGGGACAGATATGTCTCTGAACTGAATTAATTTTGATCCGGTTCAAGGACTTGAACAAATTTAGTCCTTTCACAGGACTTTAACAGGTTTCAAGTAACATCATGTGACCTAAAAAATAGCCCATTGATTGGCTGGTTTACTCATGAATTATTAATGTATGAAAATTAAACTTCATGTCATTTCCTTGAGAATAAGACCCTCCATAATATTCATGCATATTTACAGATCTATCTCGTCAAGTGTTATATACATTACAATACTCAATGGAGTGACACATGATTTGAAATAGATAAACAGTCTGTGGATAAAACCCAAAACATTTAAGTATGTTTTTTACCTAAAAACATGCATAATTTCCTTGACAATGAGATAATCTGTTCATGAGTTTCATCTATAGTTCTTTTACATTACTAATCAAGTGTTACTTCATTGTGGTCTATCTTCAGTACGAACAACGCCACATAGGGCRCATGAAGAAAAAAAGGTTTTCGTACCCAAGCTAGACCATAATGCACCTTTTTCTCTTCTCAGAAAAGGTCGAATGATTTGAAACGTCTACTGTTATGTTTAGAGMCACGAGAATAAATCACTTACCTTGTAGCATATCCATATCATCTTTTTCAAGCTCAGTCAGCCATTTTGGTGGACTACTACTCAGTGAATATGGCTGAARATGACAGAGAAAAATTATCAAAAGTACAAATTAATTTAACCAAGGTTTTCATTGGTATGCGCTGATTGAGACATTCCGTCATGACAGGAAAATCAGGCATTAGACTGCAGTCACTCAGAGTACTGTATGTAGAGGTACCGAACAATACTTATTTGATTGATGGTAGTCTACTGCCCGACTTCCTTGTTGTGACTTTAGTGTTTATCAGCGCATAGCAATAAAAACAGAAGTAATAGAGCGGATGCAATATTAAACTGTGAAATAAAATCAAACTAAATACTAACTAATAGTGTCTATTTGGTGACTAATAGTTGCTATCACTCAACCAGAACATTCATCATACAAAGACAAATACACAAGAGACCATTTGTGTCTTTTGTTTAATAAATGTTCTGGTTGAGTAATAGTGACTATTAGTCACTAAATAGATACTATTAGTTAGTATTTAGTTTGATTTTATTTCACRGTTTAATTGYATCCGCTCTAACTAAGCAAAAACTTAACACTGGATTATTAAAATTAAAATATGATTTTATGCACCTAAAAAGATTCATGAACTTACACTTGCAGTTAGAGATGCGAAGTCTGAAACACCAGGAACTGAAGAATAGAAGAAGATAAAACATTTAAGTCATGATAAACTAAGGATACCCAAACCTGACACCAAATACAGTAAAAACCCGCATATAAGAACCTAGATTTTTTCAAGTTAGCCTAAACAGGTTCTTATATAAATGGTATTTAGTGTTAAATTAGGCTAACTAGTAGGTTCTTAATTAGGTTCTTAACTTTTCTTCAAGAAATAAAGTAGTATTTTTGAATACTGTAGTCTGGTCTTTAATTTCCAATTACAGTATTCTTGGAGGCTTAGGTAATAAAAGGTTCATCTCAGTTTCATTTTAAGTTGGATTTTTTTATTCAGTGAGAACATGTTCTTTACAGTAACCATGTACAGTAGTGTTTATAGCATTATTGTGTGCAGACTGTGTTGTAAACACATTTTTGAAAAGATTGATTCTATTTTTTACTTATTTTTTAAAAATAAGAACCTGTTTTAGGATTTTAGCCTAAAATGGTTCTTATGTGAAGGGTGCTTAAAAATGAAATTTTAGCCTAACAGGTTCTTAAATTTTAGGTTCTTATATGCAGGTTTTTACTGTATTGTAAAGATAAGAAGTGGATAAATAAAACTTTGCAATACCCAGAGTTTTAAAATATACGCCTACTTCAAAAAAAGTTTTCGGTCGGAGATTTGAAATGTGTGATCTGAGACTAAACAGAATTTTTGTATTTAATTATGTTTTCTTGCCAAAAATTGAACAATTTCATCTAAACTCAAATGGCCATGCTTCGTATTGCAATTTAAAATGAAACTACAATGTTCCACTTGAATATATTACATTTTGCAGCGTGTTACTTGCTCTCAGAGATTTCAGATCTCAGACTGACAATGTTTTTGAAATAGGCGCATGCTGTTCCTTATGTACTGTCATTTACATCTACTGTAAAGTGGACGAACAACACCAAACGTGTTCTGACCATATGCTAAAAAATACCGGAATGGCTTTCCACAAAAGAATTTCCAAGCATGCTATGCGCACTCTTACTGTTAGCAATACATTTTCTGAAAATGTATGTTGGATTCTCCTTTACATGATATGGATATTTTCATTTATTTTGCTTATCGTTTGAACTTGAAAATTTGAATGACATATCCAAAACACCCAGATTTCTAGGGCCATGCGTTCATTCTTTATGAAAATGAGTGCAAATCAAATCCCTATTTCCCTTGTTAGCAGAGCCTATTTTCCTTTTGTTTAGGTGGAGTGTGAGAAAAATAGACTCTGCCGATGTAGGACGTTATACTCGTCGTGCCTGCGTGGGGTAACTTAGCAACGCTGTCATGATTTTGACAGCCACTCTCGTCAAACAACATTTGGCACCATGGTGTGTTACATTTGCTCGTGCACATGTACCAGGTTAAGAACCAGTTTTAAAACTGGTTTTGTTCGGTGTATCAAAAGAAACTTGATTTGACCATCTCATTTCTTTGGAGAAACATGATTCATAACCCCCCTTTATCACCCTATTCTTTCTTCATACTTTGTTCCGGCCACAGATCAGGTGAGGCACGGTCAAGCCTCTCAAAGCTCAGCAACCCTTGCAAGCTCTGGTCATGTTCTGAGGGGGAAAAACAACGAAAACAATAACTATCAAGCATTTTAATAACATGACTTTGATTGAGTCTGTTTCCTTTAGGGAATAATATTTTAATTTTGTTAATTTAGCTAAAATTTACTCTAATATTAAGATTAGATTGAAAGGAAAACTAAAAGTTAAGCTAGGTAATGAACGTCAAGTAGTTGAATTTTCCAACAAAATAATCAAGATTGTTTTGACAAATTTGCTTACCAGGACTCGGAGATTCCATGATTTGTTGCRTCTAATAGTACAGGTACTTAAAACATCAGAGAAAGCAGTGAATTAGGCAAATTTTTTGGGTAAAAATTAAGATTTTTCCTACAAATCAAACAAAACAACGTTTGACTTCTCCGCGAAAAGAACTAGTACCCAATCCTACGCTACCGCTCAAATCGAGAAGAGTTGGAAATAGAAGAATACCGAGAGGGCCTAGGTTTTTTTTTCTTCTTCTTCTTCTTCTTCTTATTTCTTTCTCGTTTTATACTTTTCAGTAAAGAAATTATATATTCCAATTATTTCATACATTTTATTTGATTATATATTACAGTTTGGTTTCTTAATATATAAGGTTTTATTTGAATTGCTAACCTCGTGGACAAAGACTTTAATATGATATATTTTTTCATTTATGTTTAATCCCGAGAATGAGGGGTGTCTTAACACGGTCTCGTCCGTACCTTAAACACGGTTCTGGATCCTGGTACCGTGCATTTCTTACTGCTTATAAACTTTGCGCTAAACTACAGGTGAAAAATATATCCCGGGCGGAGAAGGACCACATAAAATGCAGTAAATGTATGTAATTTGGTCTGTTAGGGGGCCGGAAAATGCACTCTACGCCCGGGATGTAGTCTTTTCCTAATGACGCACCATTCAATCGCGAACCAAGCCCGTTATTCTTTATCCTTATAGTTGGTCGTATCATTAAACAATTGTAAACGAAGCCGAAGCTAATGAAAAAGGATTTCTAACCGTTACAGTCATTTTGAACGAAGCGACAAACAACAAGTTTGAGAAAAAGTTTGGACACATTTTATCGCGATATTAAAAAGACATTTTATGTCGGAAGTTAAATCCTTGCCTAAAACCTTAAAATATAATATATATTAGGTTTTGTAAAATAGTAGTGTAACCATGGTAAAATTTAATTGAATTTGTAAGTGCTTGTCTTTGATTGAACGCGTTCAATATATTGAACAGAAGTAGAGAGTGGAACACAAACTCTGGCATAGCCAGGAATAAGCGACATATGAAGTATGATATGTCGAAAATAATTATGGCTAAGCCCATCTCAACTTCTCCCCCTCCAGCCCTCGCGCATAATATCTGTGAAAGAAAAAAAAAKAAAAAATTGAAATCGCCACGGAAGGCGTAAGTACGTGCGATATCGACTCGATCGCTATATGCAAATAAAACTGCGCAAGTCAAGTTTTGTTAAGAGGTAGACTGATACTCCACAATCAGTTAGGGGATACTTTTCATCAAAATCGAGTATGGGGTATTTTTCATCAAAAGTAAGGTTAAATGGCTTCTTCCATTCGAAAAAAAAACAGTCCAAACATTCTAAAATCTTATGCCAACTCTGTTTTAACCGTGACTGTGACATTGATTCGTAGCCATTCGGGGATGGATACAACAAAGAAAACCCATCGAAATCGCCTAAAATTGAGCACAGTACATAAGAACCAACAGATAAGGACGTCGAACCAAAGTTCGTAAATTGTATTCTTATATTTTTTATATAAAATACCATCCAAAAAAATACCCAATCATTCTCTATACAAGTACAGATCTTGGGCTGCCTGTGGTTTTACTTCACATCCCAGGCCCCTCCTTGTCATGTTTGTCTGAGCTCATCGTCACAGCGTCCCTTTCTCTTCATAGATTCCACGTTGGTGTCGATAGATTCACGTGTGTGGAAGTCATTTGAACAAATATTCTCTTATTTTATTCCAAACCATGTATCGATTTATATCTCTAAGCCGTAAGGTAAGTTATTGTTTTTCCTTTAGGTTAAGTTACTTTGTAATTTTATGTCGAGAAAAAAATTCTGAGGAGTTATATTGCATAACTCTTGGAAACTGAGCTAAAAATTAATATTAAGTCATGCTTGTCACGTACAGTAAGCTGATCTAATGATAATTTCAGAATTCTATCTGTCGTATTTATTGTGTTTTTGTAAACATAATAACGCTTGCWGCTGTAATAGCAATAAGCTTAAATTGTTTGGTATACATTTTGCTGTGGCATATTTATAGTATATGTACCGTCATTTTATTGGCTTTAACTCATGCTGTATGCATGCAATCTCTGTACTCCCAACGATGTTTAAGCTATTGGTAAATGCTTAGATCCTATTGAACCATTTCTCATATACTTTATATGACCTTATATATGTATATATATATAAGTTAACATATTATTATGCAAATATAGAAAAAAGCATTTACAATGTAAAAACTTATATAGAATGTGTAGTCTCAGTTCTTATAGGGCCACTTGGACGAAAATTGTTCCAAAATTAAAACTCTTTCATTCGAGCTGGAACTTTGCTGAAATAATCT